TATACAAAACTAATTGGATATCATCCTCTAATTTTAAGGGAGAGCATCTCTTTTTGTTGAACATCAAATAATTTCGTATCTTCCAAATCAACCAAATCACAGAGTATATGAGGGTAAGTTTGAGTTTTTTTTCTTCTTCTTATCAGAAACAGGGGTTGCCAATACCGTTAGCAATTCCAATCTATCCCCAGAAGTCAAGCTAACAGCACACTCCATTTGATAAACCAACTTTAGATCTGTGTTGAAAAGTTTCACTTAAAGAAAATGTGATCCACATCCTCATCATTCATGTGACAAAAGGATACGTCACCAACTCCAAATTAACACCTCTATTAACAAGATTTTAGCCACTGAACCTTATTGGAAATCACATACCAAACAAAACCATTAATTTTAAAAACTAACGCATTTATCCATTTTCTCGACTTACAACTGACATTCATTTGCTCAAATACCGAGTCTAAGTAAATCCAATTAAGAAAGTCAAACGTCTTATCAAAATCCACATTAAAAATAAGAATTTGCTTATTCACCTCTTTGGCATTAATCAAAAGCGGACCATCAAGAATGTCACGACCTTCCACGTATGCCGATTGTTCTTGACCAATAATCGTCCCCAAGACTTTTTAAGTCTCAAAGAAAGAATCTTAGAGAGAATATTGTATATGCACCCAATTAAATTAATTAGCTTATAATCTTTTTTAAGTATAAAGGGTCAAAACTTTTAAGAATTGGAGAGATGAACGAGGCATTACAGCATTTACAAATCGTCCACGAGTTTTCAAACTCCTTTAAGTAATTAAAAATATCTTCTTTGAACATCTCTCAATACTCCTCTATGAACTTGAAATTAAATCTGTTATGTCCCTCTTTTCTAATGTAAGAACATGAAAATAGAGTAATATTCTTCCATTGTCCTCCCATATCTTCTCTCCTTATATTCTCACTTTTTTTCTAGCGAACACTATGTTCCTATCCATCATATCATCGAAAGTGTAATACAACAATTCCTACGATATGGTGTGACCCCAAAACATCTTTCTCATGTCCCTAAAAATTGCAATTTTTTTTATCTCACCCAAAAAGTATGGAACAAGGAATTTGCGATCTCTCATATATACAAAAGATGATCTAGTCCAATCTCATGCAACAAACGATCTCTTGTTTATGCAAAAGATGTAATTGTCCTTGTCCTATCCAATCCCATCAAGTCCAATCTAATATACAATCAATGAAATGCTACTATTTTTTTTTTTTTTTTGATTTCTCAACTCAAATACAAATTTAGATGATTGATACCATTTCCTCCAAAATTTAACCCACCAAACAACCTCTAAACATAATGGGAAAAGGTAGGAGGAAAACATGTATTTAATAAAAATCTTTCTTCAGAGGGTTTTACAAAGATCCTTCTGGCAAAATGGTTGGCGATGTAAAGAGTGATCACCAGTCCATCGTGGTGGGGATCCTGGACATCTTCCCTATTTATTTCGACGAAGGTGGTCTCCTTCTCGTTTGTGATTGACGTATTCTTCTGAGGCCTTTTTTCTTTCTCTGTCTTCGACACTTTTGGCATGCCTTTTTGCTACAAAATAAGAGATACCACAAATGTCAGATCCTCCATATATAACATTGATTATCTTGGCGTCGTCCGTAGGAAGGGATCCTGGTTTCTCTAGGATCTTATGAGGATCTTGATCCTTTTCTTTGGATCTTTCTTTTCTCCTTCCCAGGATCTCTTTGAGATATCCTTTATTAAGTAGGTAACTGATATCCTTCTTGAGGGCTATACAATCTTCTGTAATGTGACCAAATTCCTCATGGTATACACACTATTTGGACTTATCTTTCCAGGTGGTTGACTTTTCTCCCTTTCTTGTCCATCTTGCTTTGTCGCCAAGATCATGTGTAGCAAATATTAAACCTGAAACATCCATAGAAAAGCATTAGTCAATGATCTTAGAAAATTCTTCTTCCTCACCCTTCATCTTCAAGGGCATTGACCCTATGATGATCAGGTTTGGATTTATAGGATCTTTAGACCAAGGAGTCGGTATTCCAATTGGGTTTATCATATGAGTTTGGTGGGTTGCTGTTTTTTTAGATCTCCTTGCCTTCTTCGAGCCTTATGAATCTGAGTGTTTTATTTCTCACTTCGTCCATTCTTTTGCATGGAGTCGTTACAAGATCTTTGTAGAAGGGAGAGTCCTTCTTTAAGCCTATTTTGAAGGCTTCTACGGTAGTTAGCATATCGATGTTGGAGATACTCATGGCTTACCTACCAAACCTGTTCACAAAATCCATAAGGGATTCCTTAGGATCCCGAACTACCCGATAAAGATCAATGGTGATCTTTTTGAATGTTCTACTACAAGAAAATTGAATGTTAAAAAGATTAACTAAGTGAGAAAATGAAGTCATAGAGTAAGGAGGAACGTTAAGAAGCCATTTTAGGGTTGATCCTGTGAGGGTTGAACTGAAACCCTTGCATTGGAAAGCTTCCTTCAAATGTGTGGGAATGAGGAGGATCTCCATTCTTTCCCCGTATTATGTCACATGTTCTTCAAGATCTGTGTCCCATCGTAAGGCTTCATGCTGGGAGTTTGGAAGCGCTTTGGCACTTCGGTGTCAGCAAGCGTAGGAGAAAATCTTAAGATCCTGTGGTTTGTTAGGAAAACTTTCTATATAGGTTAGCCTACTCCAGACACACTTGAGATCATCTTCCTAAATTGTTGAAGTTATTTGGCCATGACCAGGCTCATTCTTGCATCAATGTCCATAGAGTTAGTATTAAAAGTATTATTATTCACGGAGTTATCAGGATCTTTATTAGTAGGAGTGACGAAGGTTTCATCGGGATCCTGGATCACATGAGCTCGCTCTTTTGAAGCTGCACCCCAAGCGGGAGCAGGGGCCGGTGTTGAGGATCCTATCTCCCGGCGGTTTCCTGAGGATCATGTATTGTCAAAGTTTAGGATCTTGGGCTGCAAGATCGAGGGTGTTGTTCTTAGGGTTTGTGGATCTCTGCCCTCATTCTCTCCATTTCCTTAAGTACCATCCTGTTATCCTCCGGCTGTTGAGTGACTTGTCGTTCCAAACTCTTCATCATAGCAAAGAGATCGTTATTGGAAATCATTGCAGGAGGATCCTGAAATCCTTGGGTAGTGACCGGAGAGGTGTTTTTCTTCAGTGTCTCAGAAGTCTTCTTGGGAGCTCCACTTGGAGGTGGTGGATGGTTTTTAAAGGAAATAGGAGGAATATAGGAAAATGATAAGATTGGTTGGGTATACATGGTTTTTGAACGATTGTGAACACCACGACCCCACGATGGGCGCCAAATTGTTTTGGTCAAAAATTGATCAAGTAATATTTAACCAAGTTGTATGAGAGGTTGTGGTGTTTGAGGTAATGCAAATGTTAAATAGTGATCAAAGTGAGACAAGTAAGTTACAAGGAAAGCTCTTGATTCTTTATAGAATTTCCGGCATAAAACTTTGGGATGTGATAATAATCACCTGCCTTGTTTTTATTGATTTGAAGGTGAGCTTACAAAAATGGCGAAGATAATATGAGTACAAATGTAATAGTAAAGCTAATCGTATGTGTAGTGTGTGTGTGTGTGTAATACATGTGTATTTATAGTCTAGACTAAGTAACATTAAGTTTGATATTTTTGGGATCCTCTCGAATAAGGATATGCATGTTGTTTGACTTGGTATTCTCGGGTTTTAAGTCTGGTTGAAATGTTTCTTCGTTGAGAATGAGTCTCTTATGGGCGTTTCTACACATGTGAGAAAAAGAAATAGAAATATGATCGAATAAGAATATGCATATTATAACTTGGTATCCTTGGGTTTTAAGTTTGGTTGAAGTGCTTCTTCATTAAGAATGAGTCTCTTATTGGCCCTAACACATACTGTTAGGAATTAAGGGATCAGAATAACAATAAATACAAACTTCTATAAATTCAAGGATTGTGTTTTCAAATACTTTTTGAAATCTGAATTCGTCCCTTTTGCTTGATGTACACGAATTCAGAAGTGAGATAATTAAATAATGAACCAATCTGAATCACAGATCTAATTCATATTGTAAAACACAAAATACCTTGTTAATGTATTCTTGAGAGATAGATCAAATCTTAATAACAGATTTGAAAGTATGTTATGTAACCCGTTTTCTGGAACATGAAGAATGTTCTTATACAAGAGGGAAAGGTAGTTATTAGTGGCGGTATGCAGTTTTGGCTCCAAAACAGGTAGGTATTGGACATAACCAACACCTGCATCATCATGATGTCATCAAGTGAGTTTTGACAGGAAAACGCATGGTTAGAGTCATACCTGATATAAAAATTCATTTAGGTTTCGGGGCGCCAAGGGCTCTGCCCTTTGGACCCCCGTCATTGGCGTTGCCCCTTGGATCCGCATACCCAGAAACGTTGCCCTCGGACCCCCGTATCTCAAGCTCATATTAATCATTCTGAGTGTGCGCCTTGTACCTCCAATCTCGGTGGGTGAAATAGAATCAGTCTATCTCTATAGTAATAACTACACTCAAAACATATTGATAGCACTGAAATCACCAACACACATACAAAGCAATATCATTTATTTGTTTGACATTTCAACATAACAGTATTATTAAAGAAAAAGACTATATGACCTCTATCTTCTCTCCTTATATTCTGTCACTTTTTTATAAGAAACACTGTTCTTAACCGTTTTTTATAAGAAACACTCTTCTTATCCGTCATGTCATCGAAAACAACTATTATTATATCAATTTCTCATCTTTGTGAAGTATAGTCCGATCTCATACAACAATTCCTAGATATGGTGTGGCATAAACATCTTTCTCTTGTCCCTAAAAATTGTAATTTTTCCATCTCACCCAAAAAGTACGGAACAAAGGGGGTTTGCAATCCCTCGTCAATGGGATTAACTTCAACTTTTTATCTCTTGTCCTATCCAATCTAGTCAAGTCCGGTCTCATACACATGCAAAGAAATGCTACTATTTTTATTGATTTCTCAACTCGAATACAAATGTAGATGATTGATGATACCATTTCCGCCAAAATTTAACCCACCTAACAACCTCTAAACAGAATGGGAAAAGGGAGGAGGAAAACATGTATTTAATAAAAATCTTTCTTCATAGGGTTTTACAAAGAACAGAGACAGAGTAGCATTAGCATCTGCACCAAATTCTTCTTCATCAGTAACCATAACCTGAGTTGTCCATGGGGTTTCCAGCAACCATGGGTTCCGGCTCCTTGATTTCAACCACCACAGCATCTGATGTAAGGAATGTCTTTGCAACCGACGATGCATGCTCCAAACAACATCTCACCACCTACACATACATCATTTCATTCATTCATATCATTCAACGAATTTCACTTTTTTCTTTTTTTCTTTTTTTTTTTTTAAAAAAAAAAAGAACATAAAACTTACCTTTGTTGGATCAATAATACCAGCTGCCATCAAATCTTCATATTTCCCCGTTGCAGCATTATACCCAAACTTATAATTATCACTCGCCAAAACCTATTTTAAATTACAAAACAAATCCACACATTCAACACTTAAAACACTCAACACAAACAAAAATTAAAAAATCTACCTTCTCAATCACCACACTTCCATTAACACCCGCATTTTTAGCAATCAACTTCATCGGGTACCCAAGTGCCCTTTTCACAATTTCAGCTCCCACTTTCTGTTCATCATTCTCAAGAGTCTCTTTAATGGCATCCACTTTAGCAGCAAGGCGCAACAATGTGCACCCACCCCCAACCACAATCCCTTCCTCAACAGCCGCCTGTATCATATCATATTATCATATTATCCTATCACAATTTTTAAACATCAAAACAACTTAAAATGTAAGAATTTATGAACAGATTCTAGGGGTTATACAAACCTTTGTTGCATTGAGAGCATCCTCTACTCTAAGTTTCTTTTCTTTGAGTTCAGTTTCAGTTTGTGCTCCAACTTGAATAACAGCAACCCCACCAGACAATTTTGCAATTCTTTCATTTAATTTTTCTTTTTCATAATCCTGTTCTGCTGCCTCAACAAGGTTTCTAATTTGAGCCACGCGTCTGTTCACCAACTCCTGTGTGCTTCCATCACCAACAATGGTGGTTGTGTCTTTGGTCAACACCACTTTTGCAGCAAGCCCTAGAACCTCACTTCCAGCATTCTCAAGTGTCAATCCTACCTCCTCCCTGATTACAGTTCCTGTACACAATAGAATTTTAAAAAGTTTAGGGACCAAATGTGGACATAACCAATAGTTTCCTGGAAACCCTTTATTAAAAACAACATGATATGAAATACTTGCCTCCAGTAAGAATAGCAATATCATCAAGATATTGACTTTTTCTGTCACCAAAACCAGGTGCCTTAAGAGCAGCAATCTTTAATGAGCCTCTTAGCTTGTTGACAACAAGGGTAGCAAGGGCTTCTTGTTCAACATCTTCTGCTATGATTAAAATCGGGTACCCTCCTTTTATGGCATCTTCCAACACACCAACTAAATCTCTTGCGTTTGTTACCTTTTTATCAACAAGAAGCAACTACAAAACCCCATGAAAAGATTGAATTAGAATACAAAAATAAGGAACAAAAGATATTTTATGTAATATGTCATTATTATTATTACCTTGCAGTTTTCAAATTCAACTGACATTTTCTCACTATCGGTAACAAAGTATGGAGAGAGGTAACCACGATCAAATTGCATGCCTTCAACAACATATAAGTGGTTTTCAGCACTCTTTCCTTCTTCAAGAGTTACAACACCTTTTCTTCCAACTTTACTCATTGCTTCAGCAATCATTTGCCCTACTTCTTCATTGTTTCCTGCACTCACTGCTGCCACATCTGCCAGCTCACTATCTGTAACCTGTCATTTTTCACATAACATTACAAAAACATTCAACAATTACATGTTTTTTGGTCTCATAATAAAGACAAAGATAAAGATAAACTCACTTCTTTTGACATCTTTTTGAGTTCTTCAACAAGGGCTTTAGTGGTTTTTTCAATGCCTCTTGTTATCTGAATTGGGTTAGCACCTGCTGCCACCACCTAATGAATAAAATCTTGATAAGTATATGAACACTACATTTAATTTACTTCATTAGTTGAAGTATCAAGTATCAAGAAATTACCTTAACACCCTCTGTTATTAAGCCTTGTGCTAAAACAACTGATGTTGTTGTCCCATCACCAGCCAAATCATTTGTCTTTGAAGCTGCTTGTCTCACCAGCTTGGCACCGATGTTCTCAACAGGATCTTCCAATTCAACCTAAATTGAGAAAGAAAAGAAAAGGGTCATTTTTGAAAGTCAAGAAACATGGAAACATGGAAAAACAAAAACAAATCTTGATTTAAGACCATAAACAATGAAAATGATACCTCTTTAGCCACAGTGACACCATCATTTACAATTTTTGGAGAACCATACTTGCTTTCCAACACTACATTTCGCCCTTTTGGACCTAGAGTAACTCCCACAAGATCTGCAAGCTTGTTGACACCAGCCTACACACAAGCACATATACATATCAGCACAAGTGCAACCAGAATCACCAAAAGGTAAAACGTGTCACTTTGATGATACCTGTAGCTTCTTGATAGCAGACCCGTCCTTGTTTAAGTAAATCTCTTTGGCCATTGCATTAACCTTTAGGCTACTTCTTCTCTGCATAACTACATTTTGCCTTCTGTGTGCAAGAGGAGTGGAAGATATAGAAGAAAATGAAGACAAGCTTTCCAATGAACTTGTGACTGCCTTGTTTGTTGACCCAAAAGTGCCGATGGAAGACAAGGGAGTAATAGACGCCATCTTCTAACAATCCTCAATCAGTTAGCTACAAACATTTCAAACATAAGAACCTCAAAAAGTATCCGACTTTGAAATCAAATGATGACACGTGCATAATTCGATTACTGAAGACATAAACATTATAGAAAGCTAAGAAATGTCTCAATATTTCAAAGCCAATTACCCGAATAATTGTCAAGATGTCAAATACTTTCACCACCTCACAAAAGAATATTAATCATTATCTTGATACACAAAGAAAGAAATCTAATCACCTAAGTACTCCCTGGAGCCGAGTCACATTTACCAACTCACATGGATATTTATCATTAGAAAGATAAGTCAAATTGACAAGAACATGAACAGACAACCGGAGAACGGAGACTACAAGACATATCTTTGAAAAAGTAGGAAAGCGTGAATTGAAAAACGACTAAAGTTCAAATTCAAGCACCAAAGTAATGTTATAAACTCAATCCACACCACAAAATACCTCGGTACAGAGTTTACAATAATCAACAAGTCAATTTCACAAGAAAAAACCTGAACGGATAACACCGAATCAAAGATAAACAAAGAATTGTTGGCAGAAACAAATCAAAAACAGCACAAACTGAATTTCCAAACGGCTGAAAACCCTAAATGCTAACACACATTTAACTGAAATTCATAAAAGATAGGATTATGAAGAAATTGCTTTACCTAATAATTTGCAACGAGAGAAGAATGGTAGACGAGAGCAGAGGAAGTAGGTGTGAGTTAAGTGAGTATGGGATAACAAAATTTTAGGGTTTAAGAAGATAAGAATGACGTCATGCTCACCTCATCACGATTGAAACCTCCGGTCTAATAGAATATTCTAGACCTTATACCAACTCGAGCTTAAGAGAAATTGGGCCTTGAACTGGGCTCAAATTATTGAACCAATTTTATATCAATACGCTTTAGGAATGCTTAAATTTCATTCAATAAAACGAACAATATAACATTTTAATAGATGATGTAATCATTTTATAGTTCAATTTATAACTATAAACTATTAACATAATTATCGTTAAAAAAATAATAAAATACAAAAAAAAAAAAAAAACGCAACTAATTAAGCCTTAAACCGGGTTCGTAGCATTACTCCAAACAGAAATAGAATCCAATTTCAGTTGCATGATCAAGAATTTCAAAAACGACCTAAAAACACTTCAATCAAACCAAATCGAGTAAAGAAATCAATAACAAAACCTAGAAAATTAAATGGATAACAACATCAATCCTAAACCAACGATCAAAGCAACCACAGACAAAGAAATTGAAAACGATATCGCTGAGCTTGACGAAGAATAACGCGGACTAAATGCGGGCGAACCACCATAACTGGAGAACTGAGATGGCGACGGAGCTATGTCGGAATAAGAGCTCTCCGGCGGACTAGAAATCGACGGCGGGAAGTACGAACCAGGGCCAGAACCCATCACCTCCAACTTCATCTTCTCACCTTGTTTACACCGATCAGAGTCGCCGCTGATGATATACATCGTTCCGACATTATCAAGATTGATCACGGAGTCGCCATCGTTGAAGAATGCGATTGGAGAGCTAGAATTACAGTGGTAGAACCCCCATTTTTTAACCACGGCCACTGAATCATTCTTGTAACGAAAACCTGTGAACAAACATAAAATCAAAATCAAAATCCAAATCAGTCTTGATTTCAGTAAGTGTAATGAATTGTATGAAAACGGAAAAAGATTTGAACAGACGGAGGGTATCGCCGATATGGAAGTTTCGTCTGGAAGCCCAGACAGTGTAGAGTTCGGTTTCGTTGGTTGCAGGGATTCGCCAACCAACGTCGCCACCAACTGGGAATTCGATAGCGCCGACGGTGGTAGTGACGGCGGCGACAGCCAAGAGAAAGAACCAGAAAAGATGCAAAACTGTATGAGAAGCGGAAGAAGAAGCGGAATCGGAAGCCATTTTTTTGCTCGTGAAAGGTTAGAAGTGTGACGGAGGATGGTGGGGATTTATATGGTGTTGAAGGTTGAAGTTTTAAGGGAGAGGGTGGTCGACGTGGGGACGTGGGGTGGTTATTTGAGGGGGAATATAGAGAGTTTTCAAAGTTTACTGCTTTAACTGTTTGTACTATTGCATTGACGGTTGTACCATTTGGAGGTTTTTAATTTTGACTTGGTCAGAGAATTATGTATTTCACCTAAATATTTTTTGCTTCGGAAAATTACACCGAACTTTATGGCTTTCACCATCTTCACAAATAACATCAAAAGGTTGAGGTCTTAAATACCTAAGAAAATCAATGAAACTACCCAAAACATCACCTATGCAAATATTGGATACCACTATTTTAATGGTGGGATCATAGCTCGCTTAAAATAACTTGTATTGGTACTAATATGGTGAAGTTGATAAGAATGAAACCAATCATAATAAAGCTATGTGGTCGAATCTAGTGGTGGTAAAGACACGATTTTGTTGTTTGATCTCAGTAAGGGGTCGTTTCTTTTGCATTTATTTGGACCGGTTAGAGGTGACTACTGACCCGGTTAGCAGTCAGATAGTTTGATTGGTCTCCAAAACTGTTGATGTTAGCAATAACTGACCAACGGGCTGACTCAGTCCCCCACAAAAACAACGTTGACCGAAGAAAAAAAAAACATTATCTTTGCGTTTGTGCCCATGCGCCCTAAAACAGAAATCACGCATCGCATCTTCCTAAGGCGACTCCTCCCACTTTGACGCTTTCTCAGCAAGTGTGGACGACTCCTACAATTATGAAATTGTTACCTGCATCATCGATGTTATCTTAAGTTTTCTTTTCTTTTTTTATCTCAAGGCCATATGAAATCATCGCATCTTTTTTTTTATGTATAAAATCCATTTTCCAATCATGTTGTCTTTGAAATCTCATTGTGTCTACACGACATATGACCATGTGTGAATGAAATCAGTAAATTGTATTTGATTTGTTTGTATGACACTTTTATATGAAGCTGAAATTAGTTTGTATGTAAAAGATTATAAGGTTATGATATCAGTTTTATCAAATAAGAATATGTTTTGTATGAAGCTGAAATTAGAATATGTTTCTATGAAAGTTTAAATCTGAAATTTGTTTTGTATAAATCTGAATATATATGAAAGCTGAAATCTGAAACTTGTTGGAAATATGAATCTTTTGTATGAAAGCTTAAATGCGAAGTTGTATGCTCTTGATTTATGTTGTAAGCATTGTTATGAAATCTGAATTTGTTGAAATGTTTTGTGATCTTTGTATGAAATCAATTTTTATTTGTGATTGTAGTTAAAAAATGATGAAATCAGATTTATGATTGACTTATGTTTTACATGTGTGTTAACTTTTTTTAATAGACATGACAGATAAAAGAACTCGAATTAGTTGGAAGTCAAAGAATGTGCATAAAACTTTTTTGAAGGCATGTATACACGAATTAACTACTAATGGTCAGGAGGATAGTGGCCTAAAAAGAAGCTTGTGGATTGTAGTTGCAAAGAAATTAAAAAACGAGCATAATTTTGTTTTCGATAGAAAACAAATGAAAAACTGATACGGCTACTTAAAAGCAAAGTATTCAGTGTGGTTGAAACTGAAAAATAAAACTGGAAATCTTTATAATCCTTTGAAGAACTCTTTCAACATAACTGATGAAAAATGGGAGGCGGAGGCCAAGGTATGTGTGTGTGTGTTTGATAATATTAATTAAATTTCAAACAGTTGAACAAATATGTAGATAAGTTGAGAAATGCACCCCTACCTTACCCTGATATTTGTACCCAACTGTTTTATGGGGCGACCTCGACCGACGTTCACAGTTGGTGTCAATCTTCAACACTACCTCATCCATGTGAAGTGTTTAATACACATGATTTTGAGGATACTAAGATGAAGGAGTCAACACCTCATATTGATACTCCAACCTTAACAGTACCAAACCTAATAGAGCTTCACCTGCAAGTGAAGAATCCTTTGGGCAGACAAAAAGCAAGGGGGAAACGAAATGGTCCCAAAGAAACCACACTTTAGTATGTTATGGTTCATGTGATGGATTTTTATGTTTAAAGTTGTTATGTGTTATGGATTTTTTTTAGGTTTTTTATATGTTATGGATTTTTGTTGTTGGGTTTATATGTTATGGAATATTAAGTGTTTTTCATTTATATGTTATGGTTTGTTATGTTATTGATTTTTATATAATTTGTGCTTAACATTTTACAGGCCATATATGGATAAACAAGGTTAATTTTTATATTTCCTTGTATTCTCATTGTATTGGTTGATGTTGGTCTAAAAAAGGCAACGAATAATTAAAAGAATAAGCGCTAGTGAACCGGTAGAAAATGGGCATATGTATATGCAAGATTTGATACACGGAAATCCTATACAATGTTACGATATGATGCGTCTTTCACATGATGCATTAGTATTATTATGTGTCACACCCCCGAACCAGACAGCGAAAACGTCCGGGGGATTGCGCTTGACTTTATCATTGTAGTATCATCACATAGTATATAATTGAAACATAACATCATCATCATCACACATGTAATATAACAACGTACATTGTTTACATCGAGTATTGTGTTTAAATATTAGATGCCAAAATGTTTAAAGTATGATGAAATAAAATATAGCAAAACATTTGTTAGATTATTCAGCCCATCCTGCTTCAACGGTTTTCTAAGAATACAATTTAATTTAAAAAGGTCAACATAAAAATGTTGGTGAGTTCATAAGCATGTTTGAGAAAATGATTTGTATAGCTTTGTAATCACAAGAAAATCCTGTATTTTCTTAAAATAGTTTAGTATGGTTGTGTCCGATCTTGTATTAATGCATGTGTGTTTTTGTTTGAAAAAAATTCCAAATGGTAAATGAAGAGATTGTAAAGAGAATTCCCCCAGACAACCATATGTTGCCTATAAAAAGAATATTGGTACATCCACCCCCGAGGTCGAGTACCGATGCGAGTATGTTCCTAAGTAATCCAAAGAGAAAAGAGAATGGTCTCCCATAAATTTCATAGCGTTAATTTCTCTAAGTGAGTCGTTATAACCATACTAATTAATGAAAATTTCGCCTATTTGGGTGTTGTTGAACAATGACGGAAAATATAATAAGGTTTTCGTCACCCTAGAGTAGTGTAGTCTAACTATAGCGAACAACTCAGGTGTGGGGTGTTATCTCCGTATAGATCTATACACAAACCCCCGCTCTCCCTCCATGAGACTCAATAGGTATCAACTTACATGTCTCACTAGATCCTTAATCGAATTTACACAAAAAGAAACATATAAAACTCATTCCAGGCCCATTGAGTCATGTAAACGAACCACGGAGGCTAGCTAAACATGTAAGTCTTTTCCAGGCCCGAAGGGAACGAGATTGTATAACATGGGCCCAAAATATATGTAAAGGACAACCGAGGCCCATTTCACATGTGAGGTATTTACGGGCCCAAATAGTATGCAAATAGTATCCAAGGTCCGGCGCGCATGTTAATGGGTTAATGAGGCCCAATAAACATATAAATATTATTCAGGACCTATCAAACATATAAATGGGTCACTAAGGCCCTCTTTTTGTAAAAATTAACATTCTTGGCCTATTAAGCCAAAAATTTACAATTAAAACCCAAGTTTAGTAAAAATAACATTTAGGCCCCATTTTGGACAAAACTCGCATTTAATGCTAGTATTTGTAAAAATAACATTTTTAACTCATTTTTGGTTTGGTTTTGTGAAAATCGGCCCATTTATAGAAAATTTCATCTTTTGGCCCAATGTTCATAATTTTCGCAACTTTAACCCCATTTTATCAAATATTTACATTTTTTACACAACTTTCTTCAAAATGACAATTAAACCCACAAAAGATAAAAATTTACATATTTTGGGCCCAAAACCGTAAGAAGCCCAAATAAGGCCCATTTATGAAAATATTTACATTTTTGGTCCCTATAAGGTCTCAAATGTCGAGTTTTAGCCCTTATTTAGCAAAAAATCCCTTTTGAACCCCTTATTAGTCGAGAGTTACATAAATAACCCATATTTTGTCACTTTTGTTGTTATTAGCCCCTTTCAAGAAGTTTTTCTTAGATTCAAGTAATCTAAATGTATTTTGAACCTTTTTCTTGTGAGATATGTTGAGATAAATGTTATGTTATATGAATATCATCATCTTTTAGTAGATCTTTTAGTTCATGAAGTTTAAAACACATAAACACATATGTAGCTAAAGAAAACACACAAAACCATGCATACACACATAGATCTACACAAAATAACTTGTATTCTCCCCCAAAACAAGGTAAATATCAAAAATAAGGGGTATAAACTCACCTTTGTTTGAAATTTTCGGTTTTTGGTGAGGAAATGAAGAGATCTTGGCCCTAGATGTATTCTTGAGAAGATTTTCGAGCTCTAAGATGTTCTAAGAGCATAGATCATGAAATGAGGTGGGTTAAAAGAGATTTTTGGTGTAAACTTGAAGTTAAAACTATGGAGTCAAACAAAAACTTACCAAAAGCGATGAGCTTTGATGAAGAGTTCTTGAACACCACACAAACACACATGAACTTGGGAAATGAGATTTTCTTGAGAGCTCTAGAGAGACTTCTTGGGTGAGTTTGAGAGTAAAAGTGATGGTGGTGAGGTGGTGGTTTCGGCCGAGACTAGAAGAAAAGAGGGAGAGAGAGAATATTAGGTAATACTTAATGGTTAATTGTTAGCTTGCCTCAATATTTGTGGGGTAATATGCTTGTTTACATGTAAAACAATATGGAGGTGTCACAAATCTAGCCATCTCCATATTTTCTCCTTTTCTTTATAATATGTAGTTGGGCCGAGAATAAGGGAGAAGAAAAGAAAATGGGAAATAGTTTGGGCCTTACTTGCTTGATTTCAATATTGTGAGGTCCAAGTGGATAGTTCTCGGCCCATTGGGCCCT